AAGGTCTTCACATAAATAGACCCCCATGCCCCTCTACCTTCGATCTCCATACTCATGACAATCAATCATGCATGGCTAGGTCTTGCGTTTGGCTGATGCTTCATTTCACTAATTCTTGCTCACATTAATTGTTTATGCCAGTGTTTACAGAATTTTTTAGACTTCAACCAGCTTCACCAAATTAAACTTATAAAGCAACGACTCTCTCTCTCAAATTATCTAAATGGCTAAATAGTTTTTTGCAATCTCTTTATTATTATTATTATTATTATTATGTATATGACTTGTTATTGTTGACCCTAAAATCGGCTCCTAAGATCCGATTTGGAATTGAATGGGTTGCGGGCGTGCCAGAACCAAATATATGGTTCAATTGTGAGTTGTCAACTTATAATCTCTTAGGGAATGTTGACTTCAGGCGATTATAGGAGATAGAGAACAAATAAACTCCTAAATGAGTTCAATATTGCCTAGTTAAAAGGACTTTCTGTAAACAAATTATAGTAACGTTACAAGATGATAGAAAGGGGAAGATAATGGATATAGCAAGAAAAGAAAAGGAAAGAATGAGGAGAGAGTAAGAGAGAGAGAGAGAGAAAAATACAGAGAGATTGAGATAGAGATGAAGAAGAAATAGCAAGGATGCTATTCTTAGAAAGGCTAAAAGAAGCAAACAAACAATAATAAGGATTCTGAGGGTGCCTGGACCTCTAGTACAACATGCCTCTTTGTTTATTTATAAAAAATACTGTAAACAAATTCCTACCAATTAGCATTCTAATTACAATAAAACTCTCACTAACTACTAAATTCAAACTCAAATTGATATTCCTAGATAAAGATTAATTCCTAACTAAAATCTGGTAATCATATAAATCCTACCTAATATAAAGTGTTTCAAAAGATTTCAAAAATATTCCTATCCGATCAATAAGCCCTTGCGTGTAGCCTTGCCCTGTATAAAACCTGCCACATCACTGTTCCTTTATCTATAATCCTTTCATGCATAACACTGATAAGCCTTGTTTCAACTGATTTGTTGATCCGAATCCCTTCAGCCTAATAATGACCCAAATATAACCTTTTTAAAGCCATACTTCTAAGCCCAAACTAACCACTGTATCCTCAGCCCAATTTTTGTGCAACCCAAGTTCTTGAACATCATCATTTATTAGGCCCATATATTCTTGGCCCATAACACCATGTTAATGTTTATCAAGCCCAATTAGAGCCCAGATCCAAATTACCAAAATGGGTGTCAACAATGCCCCCCAATTTTGGTAGCCGTTTTAACCCTTCGGCTTCCAAGATTCAAATACACCCATTGCATCGTAACTTTGTATACATCTTATAATCCTATCAGCTTTATCTTGATTCACTTCCCAAAACAAATCGATTATGATAACCAATCTTATCATCATTAATTATTGCAGCAAACCCAACCTTTCAACCACATACGACTCTTCACTAAACCAACTCCCTTTGCAGACTCTTCTTTCCATCACCCTTCTTTCTTCTCCAAACTTCTCTATGTCTAACCTTTTTTTGCAAAATGACTTCAAAACAACTGAAACAAAGTGATCTGAACTTGGAAAACCCTTTTCTAGAAGCAACATCGCATACACAACTAACAAAATCCACGATCAAAACCCTAGATCAGAGCGAACTAGATATCAACACATTGATCGACGTCTCTGAAAACGCTAAGGGACTTGGCCCAGCGTTTCCTAATCAATTCCCCCCTTCCTTGTCTCCAATTTATCCACAAGCCGAACCGCATCTTCCTTTTTCCAAAACTCTCTACCTAACAGCGGAAGGAGACCGTCTAACTCTCTCTGTCAGAAATTGGCACCCAACGATGCCCCAATGGAACGATTGGGTGGACCGTGTATCAGCAGCAAAAGGAGAATAGTGGAAAATGATGGGTATCTTTGACCTCATCCAGCTTAGTAAGATTCCTTTTTCCTTTGACCGAGCATTATTTTTTGCCTCTTTGCACTTTTAGTCCCCCACAACTAATTCACTTCACTTGCACTGTGGTATGATGGCCCCTACATTGATGGACGTTTGTTTTCTAACGGGTTTAAAGCCTGGAGGAGATGAAATCAATTATCTCCTTTAGGATGAAGAAACCTCCTTTTACTTTCCAGAACAAAAAGGGGCTAAACCCTTTGTACAATCACATGGACCATTCTTGAAAGAAATGTTAAGAGAAGAAAGAACTGAAGTAGATGAACAAGAACATATAAGATTTTTACTTTTATGGTTGTGTAGGTATTTGTTGTGTGCTGCCGCTATCCAAATTATCAAGGACCTTACCCAATTGGCTATCGCTTTATCCAAAGGGAAACCCATGGCCTTAGCTCCATTTCTATTAGTGTCCTTGTATAGAGGCTTATCTGATCTTATTACTTCCAACTTTGCAAGATCTGGAGGCCCATTCTGGCTATACCATTTCTGGCTGCATGCTTATTTCCCTGAGTTATCCTCCCCCATTCTATCTGCTCCAAATGATCCTTTGCTGTCATTCGGATATGCTAGAGTCAAACCCAAAGACCACTCCTTCAATGATTGTTTTCAATTTTTCTATCACCAATGCAAGATCAGGACTCAATCCCAATTCTTTCCTTTCCCCAAATGTCAACTAGCTTCATCCTGGTTGTTTCTTCCTTCTACCGAGTCTTCAGCGGAACAGATTGAACTCTATACCAATTCATGGGGCTATTTCTTGATTGCAAGAGATATACCTTGCAATACTGTCGCTCCACATCTGCCCAAGAGCCGAACTGGGGTTGAATTTTACAACCCAGCTCAGTTGGCCCGGCAATTTGGACTAACTCAAATGATCCCGGTACCTTCTCATTTTTCTTATAACAAGAACTATAATCGGCGAGTGAAGCTTTCAAACAGTGAACAAGTTAAAGATCTGTGTAATCGATTTACTCAACTTCTTCAAGGGTTTTAGTATAAACCCTTCCTTAAGGAACTGCGTACTGACCCAAATTTTGAGAATTGGTGGATATCCTATATCACTTTTACCAGGACTGTGGATTCCAGTCAAATTTTGTGCAATCTTCTCGGCTCCTACAAATTCATTTCCCTTAATTTCCAAGGTTTGGATTCCATTGAACCCATTGCCCTTTCCACTGCTCCTGAACCAGAGAATACAGTAAATGTGGCACCAAATCGTCTTCCTCCTACAGCCCCTACAGGTAGGACCAGATCTCGCTCCCGACAGAGTAAGTTTTACATCTTCTTCCTTTCCATATAAATTTCTATTTATACACTTACTAATCATAAATCCAGGCACACATTCCAATGCACCAGACAAATCCATACCCACCGTGTCTAAGGAGACCCATATTGATTTCTACGTTCCCCTCCAAAGTATATCTCCATCTTCAGCTACTAAGGTAATACCAGCAACTGAACCATATATTTATTCTAATGCGTACTGCTTTTCTTACTAATCCTTCATTTTCAGAAAACAACAAGAAAGAAAACTGTAGGAAGGAAACTTACTCAAAAGGCAAGAGCAAAAAAAAACTTTCAATTGATCAATGATGATGAAGTTGATGATGATGAGGTCATATCCAAGAAGAAGAAGCCTGCTGCTGTTGAATCTCCTAATGTAATTTCTTTGTTGCCTGATCTTGTATATATATTACTCTTTGAATATAATTAAATCAGCATTATTTTCAGAAAGCTCCAGTCTTCTCAGATCAAAAATCAATTCAGGAAATTTCTACAGATCATGTCGAGGATGAAGACAAAATTGAAGTGTCAATAGGACAAAAGCTAAGGTCTCTGGTGTATTCCCCAAACCTGGCTGCAGCTTCAATTGGTGAACAAATAAGGGATTCTAATGAAGTAAGTGATGATATATACATCTATTTCTTTTATGACTTGTTCTTGTAAACTCATCATACCTATGGCTAACCCAATATATTTCAGGTACAAAAAGGCTCGGCTATTCTAACCATTCTTGTCAGTACCAACCCAAGTTCCCCCTTTGCAACCCTTGACTCTTTATTTGATTCTGTCTTTGACTCACTTGACCTTGAACCTCTTGAAACTCCAACTGAACCAACCTCTGACATACCCCCAGAAGTAACAAAAGCCATCCAGATATTGTCCCAAATGGTACAATAGGATTTGTTTTTTACCCCTTCATTCAAGAATGAACTGGTCGAGACACTTTCTTTCCTTGGTAGTTACCCTGGATTCTCCTTGAATGATCAAACCTTCTTAAAAAAATTCCAGCTTCGAGTGCCTTCTTTGACAACTGCTTATGCTGAATTAATCTATACTATTAATCACTACTCTTCCCAGTATCATGAGAAAGAAAAGCTTTCTCAAATTTTAAAGAAAGGAAAGGAGCTGCATCTATCCCTGAAGAAAGAGGCTGCTGAGCTGGATGCTAAGGAGAAGAAGCTTCAAGCCGAACTTGCTCAACTTCAGTTGGACAAGACACAGCTTAGTAGTAAGGTGGCTGATTTAAGGGTTCAAGCGGAGACCGCAACTCTCAAATTCAAATCTTTGTAAGCACAGATGCCGAAGTTGGAACAAAACAAGAAAGTGGCAGAAACATCCCTTAATCAATCTCGGGCTTTGTGGGCAGACTTCAAAGCCAAATTTGAAGAATTTCACAGTAATTTCACCAAAATTTGAATATTCATGGGTCTGTAATATGTTTTGAACAATTTGCCTTTTGTGGTGTGCTGAATAGTCTTGCTATGATATTTTTGCTTTTAAAGTATACTGAGCTTCTATTTACTATATAACCATACTTATCCATAATTTATTCAAACAACAAGGCAAAAATACATTCCAAACTATTTTGACTTAACTGGAAACTTCCTTTCTTCCATAAGCTCATAAATAGTTGGCTTATATTTTTTAAGGTACCTTCCATTTATTGGCCTTTCATGCTCACTATCTAGATTTTTTAACTTATAAGCTCCTCCATGCAATACTTGGTGAATTAAGTATAGACCTTTCTAAGTAAGTGACCACTTGCCATAGACCCTATCCACCTTTCCAGGTGGAAGAACTGTTTGCCAAACCATATCGCCCTCTGCAAATGACTTGAACTTCACCCTTTTATTGTAAGCCCTCATGACTTTTGCTTTATGCATTATAAGGTGATCCAAAGCAAGTTTCTGGACTTCATCTAAGTCTTCTAACTCGGCAAGCATAGCTTCGTTATAATCGGCAGGAATAAGATTATGTTGCAAGGCAACCTTTGCCGATTTTACGTTTAACTCCATCGGCAACACTGCATCATAACCAAACATTAGCCGATATGGAGTTGTCCCTGTACTTGTCCTTTTTGAGTTTCTATAAGCCCATAAGGCTTCTGAAAGGGCCTCATGCCAACGCCTCGGCTTGTCTTTTATCATCTTTTCAATAATTTCAATCACAACTTTATTTGACGCTTCTGCTTGGCCATTCCCTTGAGCATAATAAGGTATCGAGGTAACCATTTTCACTTGCATATCAATGCCGAGTTGTAATACTTCATTTGCTCGAAAAACAGCTCCATTATCGGCAATAATTGTTTCCAGTAATCCAAATTGGTGAAAGATATGTCGCTCCAAAAACTGTATAACGGTATTATGAGTTACCGATACATATTCCTCGGCTTCTACCCATTTAGTAAAGTAATCGGTAACTAGAATAATCCAATGATGACCCTTTGATGAATGGGGATTAAACTTACCAATTAGATCCATAGCCTAACCTCTGAAAGGCCATGGTTTATCTAGTAATTGCATTTCTATTGCTGGGACCCACTGCGTTGGACCATGTTTTTGACAGTCTATACAGCCTTTTGTATAAGTCATACAATCTTTTCTCATTCCTGGCCAATAATATCCATACTTGCGTATTAACCACCTCATTTTTATGCCAGCTTGGTGAGCTCCACATATCCCTTCATGTACCTCAGCCATGATCTTCAAACCTTTAAACTTGCTAATGCACTAAAATAATAAACCATCATCAGCCGATCTTCTATAAAGATCTCCATCCATAAGCACACAATCGACTGCACTTCTTCTAATTCTTCGATCGACTTCAGAAGTTGGACGTTGCAAGAACAAGATGTAAGGAATTCGCCAATCATCATCATCCAATTCGGCAACATCAGTGGCAAAGACTTCTTCCATAATTTGATTTCTTGTTTCAGCTGATGGAAGAAATCGGCGTGTAATCTTCGTTACTCTTTCCTTCATTCCACTCGGCACCTTAACTCCTGAAGCTGTTTGTGCTAAATCACTAGCTATTTTATTCATGGCCCTTGGTCTATATTCCAAAGTCACATTGTGAAATTGGTTAACCAATTGGGTTGCCAATGAATGAAATGGTCTTAATTGCCAATTCAAACATCTAAAGTCTTCTGAGATTTGATTAATCACTAAACTCGAATCTCCCACAATGTGGACATCTTTGACTGCCATTTTCAACAGAATTTCCAAGTCGATAATCAATGCTTCATACTCGGCTTGATTATTTGAACACCTGAAATCCAAAAAGAAGGAAAACGAAATTTGATTCCCTGTTAGGGATAATATAACTATACCAGCACCCGAGCCTTCACTGGTACTTGACCCATCGAACATTAAAGTCCATGGAGTCATGAATATGGATGCCGAGTCAAGCTCATCATATACTTGTGACTCAATTTCGGGCGAGGGATGATTGGCAAGAAAATCTGCTAATGCTCGTCCCTTAATTGTCTTTTGTGGAACATATGCAAAGTTGAATTCCATTAGCGCCAAAGCCCACTTGCCAATCCGGCCTGTGATTAATGGCCTTGATAGCATATACTTTATAAGATCAGTTTGGCAAATAATATAAACCGAAACAGGCAACATATAGACTCTTAATTTCATTGCTGCAAAATACAAGGCCAAACATAATTTCTCAATCGGTGTATATCTACACTCGACTGGAGTTAAAACTCGACTGAGGTAATATATTGCTTGTTCACTTCCTGCTTCATTCTCTTATGCTAACATAGCTCCAATGGATTCTTCAGTAGCCGAGAAGTATAATTTCATCGGCCATTTCTTCCTTGGTGGTATCATGACAGGAGGACTCGACAAGTATTGCTTAATCTGGTCAAATGCCCTTTGATGAATATCATCCCATTTGAATTCTTCCATCGGCTTCAACTTGAGTAGAGGGGAAAACACATGTAACTTCCCAACTGTATTAGCAATAAATCTCCTAAGATAATTCACTTGTCCAAGTAATCTCTACAACTATTTCTTGCTTCTCGGTGCACTAGCATCAATAATCGCCTTAATTTTATTCCTATCGATCTCTATACCCCTTTGATGAACCAAGAAACCCAAAAAGTTTCCTACTGATACTCCAAATGCACACTTTATTGGATTCATTTTTAGCTTATGAGCCCTCATCCTCTCAAAAGATGCTTTGAGGTGGACTAGATGCTCTTTCCTCATTGCTGATTTCACCACCACATCATCAATGTATACCTCCATAAACTTGCCGAGCATATCATGAAAAATAGAATTCATGGCTCGTTGATATGTGGCCCCAGCATTCTTCAACCCAAAAGGCATCACCCCCCATTCAAAAGTTCCAATCGATCCAGGACACCTAAAAGCTGTCTTTGGAATGTCCTCATCGGCTATATAAATCTGATTATAGGCTGAGTGTCCATCCATAAAAGACATAATTTGGAACTTTGCAGCCGCATCAATCAGCTGATCGACTATCGGCATTGGATATTCATCTTTTGGAGTTGCCAAATTTATGTTTCGGAAATCAACACATATACGTAATTTTCCATTCTTCTTGATAACAGGGACAACATTTGATAACCATTCAACATACCTTGTAGTTCGAATGAAGCCTGCACCCAACAATCGTTTGATTTCCACCTTGACTTTGTCTACCACTTCTTGAGACATTCGATGAGGTGGCTGTTTATATGTCTTGTAGCCATCTTTAATGGGCAACCGATGTTCCACCAAATCTCTGGATAAACCCGGTATTTCTTCATAGTTCCAAGCAAAACAGTTACTGTATTGTTTCAACATGCCGATAACCTCGGCTTATAATTCTGGTTTTAACAGTGCACTAATATAAGTAGGTTTAGGCTCTGTGTCAGTGCCTAAATTTACCTCCTTTAAAGGATCCTGAGTTTCTGCTTTAAGATTATCGAGTTTTGCTGGCACTAACTCCAAGTCTTCCAACTGAATTGCATCCAACTTTTCATTACTGAACCGATCGATCTCAATAAGATTAACCGATGGTCCTGGCTCTATTATTGCTTCTTTCTCTAGCCGTTTTTCGGCTATGTACGCTTGAAGCCTGATGCAAGCGGCCCTAAAGTCCTGATGCAAGTGGACCTAAAGGCCTGCTACCGAGCAACTTCCCTTTCAAGTTTCGCTTCCATCAATAACTTCTTCAATTATAGCAAGCCGATGGAAAACTACCTTCAGCCTGGAATTCTCCTGCTACAACTCGCCTATTTCACGATCGGCAAGACTTCTTCTCATAGTTGCCGAGGTTGGTCTTCCATCTGCTCCTGTTCCCACAAACCGGATAGGAACACATTCTTCATCATATAAAACAGCATCTGCCGAATACACTTTTGCCACAAATGGTTTATCATCGGCATTTACTATTTTTACTTTATTTTCATCCCAAAAAATCAGCATTTTATGTAATGATGATGGGATGCACATATTTGGATGAATCTAATCACGGCCTAATAACAAATTATAGGAAGCCGTGGATTCAATAATAAAAAATGCCGCATAAGACGTCCTTCCTCCAACTTCTACTTCTAAAGGAAAGATCCCTTTAGTGTTGGTAGAACCTCTGTTGAAACTACAAATTGCTACATCAGTAGGAATAACATCTTTCATACTCTTGCCGAGTTTCTTCAATGTGTTTGCTGGAATAACATTCAAAACCGAGCCATTGTCTACCAAGACTCGATTAATAGGTTGACCTTCTACCCACACCTTAACATACAAAGGCCTGAGCTGTTGAGTCATTGCTAACAAAGGTTTTTCAAAAACCACCTTCGCTGCCGATTCTGAGGAAAGAATTAATAAATTCCGAATCAGCTGAGTTTCCTTCTCATTCTTCTCAGTATTTGCATTTGATGTCGATAGAGCCTGGAACATTGCTGGTAATACAAATGCAATGTTACATGATATCTCGTCTGGGAAACTGCCAAACTGAATTCTGAATTCATTGTTACGTCTAGGCCACGTCGGCTGATGCTCTTCATCCGGGTTATCTTTATCTGGAATGCCGATAACCTCGGCTTGCACTACTTTGCTTCCTCCTTCAGCTTTTCTTTTTTCCTCAGCCCTTCTCCTTTGTCCTTTACGCTTCTGAGATCGAGTTAGGCCCCCATTCTGAGATTGTTAAGCTTTAGGGAACTTTTAAATAATTAACTCGAGTCCATCTATCTTCAGTCGAGTCTGTCCTTGGTTTCACAATTCGTACTCTATATGAATTGGCTTATTTCTATACCCAAATCTCTGACTGAACCGGTGACTGCCTCTTAAAACTGGGATGCCGATTTTGGAAATGAAATCGGTTAGATATATCACCTTGCCGAGCTGGCCTTCCTGCTTTCAAATGGATGTTGCTGGAATCACTTTGCCGAGGCTCCTCCCCATGCGTCAATGGGAAAATAAGCCTCTCAAGAATTCATTTCTTGTTTGGTTGAACCTCCATTGGCACATCTTCCTTTGGTTGTTGCTTTCCTTTGCAATTTGGGCAACAACCATTATCAATCAAGGCTAATTGAGCCTCCCTTAATTGCTTCTGCAATTCTACCATCTTTTTAGGTGTCGCAGTTGATGAAATGAACTCACTAGATATCTTTTCTGCCTCCTGCCGATTCTCTCACTTGGCTAAGCTTATTACATTTGTAGATGTGATTGTTGGAAATGGATTAGTATCCACCTTCATGGTCTCTGGAGTTTTCTCCGGGAATTTTAAAGTGCCTTCGTCAATAGCTTTCTGCAATACACCTCGTAGAATAGTACAATCATTAGTAGCATGGTTCTAAGAGTTATGATACTTACAATACTCTTTTCCCTTCAAGTCACTTGCCGATGGAATCCTATGCCCTTTAGGTAAAAATATCATTTTATCGGCCATCAAGTGATCAAAAAGTTGATCTATTTTCGATAAGTCAAACGAATAACTTTTCCCGGTATCGGCAGGACCTTTCCTTGCTGCTGATGTTGACGTTGATGAATTGCCCCCCGTGGTCGATTTAGGTTTAACCAATGCCTCACAAACGTATGGCTTTTTGATATTAACCTCTGCAACGTCAACTTCTAATTCATCTCCAACTTCTGCCGAGAATACCTCATAATTAGGGTCCTTGTACCAAGTACCCTTAGAAGAATTCTTCCTCTCTTTCTCTTCTTTTAATATTTTCTCAAACCGAGAAGCCCTGTCTGCCAAATCAAAGAGATCTTAAAACTCAACCCCATCAAACCTCTTGCGATGTTCAATGTCTAAACCATTTAATGCCAACTTGATGTATTCTGGTTCTGGCAAACTTACTCGGCATTTGAGTTTAACTTTTCTGAACCTGGCAACAAAAGTCTCAACCGATTCATTCGACAACTGAGATAATCGAGATATGTCTGCCAGTGTAGCTTCTGTCTCTGTTCGGTAGAATTGCGTATGGAATGCTTCCTCCATCTCATCCCAAGTCTGAATAGAATTAGCCAGTAAGTTGTTGTACCATTCAAAAGCTACCCCGACAAGAGAGCTAGAGAATAACCTCATCCTTAACCAAGGGCTAAGACCAGCTTCTCCACATTGTGCAGTGAACCTTGCAATATGCTGTACTATAGAGAAATTTTCTTCGCCACTGTATATAGAAAAATCAGGATACTGATAATTTCTAGGCAACTCATGGGCATCAACATGATCAGGATAGGGCTTTGTGTATACCGGCCGAGCACATCTGCGACCTTGTGCTACTTCGGCCTGTATTAAAGCCAAGATCTGAGCCCTATCAATCCCTGCATTTCTTCCTGGAGGATTATTTGGGTGCCGTGGAATGAATGGATTAACCCACTTTCACTTGCCCCCCAGCAGCCACTGGAGGTATTAATGGATTGACCCCCACCTTGGTTTAAATGGCCGACACCTTCTTGCTGATTTCTCACTAGTGGAATCGGCTGCTCATTGGAATGCTGCACAGGCTGATCATTTATTAATGGCTAGAACACCGGCACAGAATTCACCACCAACGGATTTGACAAGATTGGCGGATTTCCCATTGGCATGCCAAGTGTATGATTCGGCATGTTGCTGATCGTAATACCAAGCCCTGCATTTGGCAATATAGTGCTTGTTTGAGGTCCTTGGGATATATAAACCAATGGTGCCATCAAACGCTGAAAAATGGACTCATTGACGTGAGACGCTTCAGCCTGATCTTGTCGGCTTTGATTCGCCGGTACATTGGTTTCAAATTTCTGACTCATCTTCTCCAACTGAGTGTACACCATTTGGTTTAACTCCCCTGTCATCGACCTCATTTGAGCAACCAAAAATTGATTTGATTTTCCCGTTTGGGACCTTACCTCGCCGATCTGTGCTTGCTGGGCATCGATTTTTTGCATAATTGATTCTAGTACCCGACTCAAAGGGATGTCAGATGGAATAGATGAGTCGGCATCATTGCCTACGCCGATCTATGGATTTTCTTCGTCAGTATTATCTCCTGTATTCACGCCTTTCGAACCTCTTAGCTTTGGAGGCATCTTTACTATAACTTGCTCACCTAATGGGGTCCCACTAGGCGTGTCAAAAATGTTGACCCTAAAATCGGCTCTTAAGATCCGATTTGGAATTGAATGGGTTGCGGGCG